GCCTGTAATCCCAGCAATGGGAGGCTAAGAGGATCACCACCAGTTCAAGGCCAGACTCAGCAATTTAACCCTGTCTCAAAATAAAATAAAATAAAATAAAACAGAAAAAGAAAGAAAAGGACTGGGGATGTGGCTCAGTGGCAGAATACCTCTGGTTTCCATCTCTAGTACCAAAATCAAAAAGGTTTCTTTTTTTTTTTTTTTTTTTCTGTTTTTATTGTTGTTGTTATTTTTTGTGCTGGGGATTGAGCCCAGAGCCTCATGTACTCTCTATCATGGAGCTATACCTGCAGACCAAAAAATTTTTCTTAGTTGTATTTACATATATTAAAGTTATTCAGTGACTGGGCAAGGCTAAAATATCCACCCCACCCCTTTTAAAAGATGTCCTTACACTATTTGGTTTTCAGAAACACTAGTAGAGGTAGGTCAGGGGAACAACTGAAAAGCTGAGAAACTGAATATATGAAGGACAAGATTGTAGGCAAGACAGATCCCTTTAGATTGAAAATGAGTTTGAACTGAACTGTGGAAGTGGGATTTGAGTGGGATTTGGCTGGTTTAATACGTAGGATGAAAAAGAAAGCCTAGATATCAGTGATGGGATGGGTAATGCAGCTGTTCAGAAAACAGATTATAGGAAGAAACACTTTTTTTCTGGCAGAAGTTGGAGTTTGGGGTTAAAGGAAGATGATGACATCTTTTTTACCATCTTAAATTTAAGGTGTCTTTTAAGCATTTTGGTTAGTTAAGTCCTGTAGTTTGGGAGACAGTTCAAGAAAGGAATATAATTAACTGGGTGTGGTGGTGCTTACCTGTAATCCTAATGATTTGGGAAGCTGAAGCAGGAGGATCACAAGTTCGAGACCAACCTCAGCAACTTAAAGAGGCTGTATGCAACTGAGACAGATCCTCTCTCAACATAAAAACATAATAATCGTGGCTGGGGATGTAGGTCAGTGGTAAAACTGGGTTCAATCCCCAGTACCCACCCCCCCCCTAAAAAAAAGGAATATAGTTTAGGAGTCTTCAATTGAAACTATGGAACTAGGAATTACCCAGAAAGAATATATTGAATGAGAAATGAGGCCAGGGATATTCTAGGTGTTTTTGGAAGAGTCAGCAAAGGATATTGAGAAAAAAGATGCAAATATTTCTTGATATTAATTGTGGGAGTAACATCTTTTTCCCAACTCATAAATGTTCTCAGAAATATATTAGACTGCTTATCTTTTTTAAAATCTTAACCTCTATAATTTATTTAAGTTTTAGAACTAGCCACTTTTCTTTCTCTTTTCCTCCTCCTCAATTTAGGAAAAAATAACTATGTAAGTATATTAGTTCTCTACATTGTATATGATCAAAATAGCAGATACTTTAATGCAGGAATTAAAGACTCTTTTTACACCTATAATCCTTGATAAATAGATGGAAATCTGACTCTGAAGATCTTTGTCATGCAGAATACTCTAAAAATGGTAGGCTAGGCTAGGCTTTGGTATGAAATAATACTACAGTAGTTAGGGGACCTTGATATATATACCTGTGGTCAGTAAACATTGTTAGTGGAACTTTCCAGAAACAGTTGATGCCAGTGAGAATAAGATATTATAGTTTCACTTCTGACATTAGAGACTTGCATGTACAAAATGAGGAGCTATGATGTAGGTCTAATTATAGCTAACAAATAATCTTTTGTCAATTCCTTGAATTTAGGAATGAAAATTCTCATTATATATTTTATTTTTATTTATTTATTTATTTGGGTATCAGGGATTGAACTCAGGGTGCTTAACCACTGAGCCATATCCCCAGCCTTTTTATATTTTATTTAGAGACAGGATCTCACTGAGTTGCTTAGGACCGCTCCAAGTGCTGAGTCTGGCTTTGAACTTGCTCTCTTCCTGCCTCAGCTTCCTAAGTTGCTGGGAACTTCCCAAGTTACAGGCATGTGTTACCTCGCCCAGTTCTAGTTATGTTTTTTTTTTTTTTTAAATATTACTTGTCAGCCTGGGCAATGTAGCGAAACCTGTGAGACCTTGTCTCAAAATAAAAAGGGCTGGGGATGTGGCTCAGTTGTAAAGTGCCCCTGGGTTCAATCCCCAATATTGCAAACAAAACAACACCACCACCAAACCCCCCAAAATCAAAAACAAACCAACCAACCAACAAACAAAAACACTACTTCAGACTACTTAAAAATACTACTATTCCTTCTCCTTATTATTTGATTTAAAAAAATTTGTTAAAAATGTCATGTATCAATACTTATTCTTCTCAAGAAATCAAAACAGTGTTTGTCAAATTTGAAATCTTTGTTGACATCTAACATCTAGCATGTCACAGGACAGATTTTGGAAACAAGATTTCAGGCTAGGCATGTGGTGCACATTTGTAACCCCAGCAGTTTGGGAAGCTGAGCAGGAGAATCACAAATTTGAAGCCAGCCTGTCTTGGAAAAGGGCAAAAGCATTAGGGGTTTATTTCTGTGGTAAAGCACCCCTGGGTTCAATACCCAGTGTTGCAAAAGAAAAGGTGTGACAGACTCTGGACAGATAGCATTGATATTCTTGAAGGCTTAGTTGATCAAATCTTGGTTGACACAGAAGCAAATTGAAATACTGAATTTGGACATATTCAAGGTATATAGTGCTATACTGGGAAGGAAGTTAAACTTTTGAAAGTGATGGTGGGAGAAATCTCAGTGGCCACAGATTAACTTTTCCTGGCCCAATAAGACATTTACCCCAGAGAGTTTGAGATAGGATGTGTGACTGTTACTTAGCATGCGTAATAATGTCTGTATTTCAGTATTCTTTTATTTTTACAATAGTTAATGTGCTGTGATTTGCAAATCTTCAAACATATTCAGAATCTGGCCACTTTTTACCACCTCAGTTGTACCATTACCATTATCTCTTTCTTACAGTATTGCAGAGGATTCCTAAATTTTACTGTGTATTACAATCAACTGAAGATTTTTAAAAGTACTGATATATGACTTCTGTTAGCAGTCATTCTGATTCAATTGGAATGAGTTGCAGACTGAGCATCAGAATTTTTTGTAAGCTCCCTGTCTCTAACATGTATTGCCTCAAATAATTAGAAAACCAATTTTTCCCTGAAGAATTTGATTTTGATTGTGTTTTTCTGCTAGTAGCCTTGTTAATTTGGGACATTTCCATTTCTTAAAGTTTTAGAAGTTGTAGTGTATCTATTGTGTTTCTTAATTGAGCATGAAAGCTGAGGATGGCTGATTTAAGCTGAAATAAAATTTACTGATAGGACAATGAGTGGTTCACAGAATTGGTAGAAGAATGGATGGAGCCAGTTATAGAAAAAGTAAATTAACAAGGGGAGGGTAAACAGCTGGAACCACAGCAAAACTCATGTATGTTAGACTATTATTGCTGTCTGATGAATAGTGATTCGATGATATTGATTGCACTACTGATAGTGTTGGTCACTCCAGGTCACCACTGGTTCTGCTGCCCTCTGAAACTAGATGTTGCTTTCACTGTTGCTGTTATTGGAAAGAATTATTTTGTCTCTAACTTTTCTGTGCCACTATCCTCCATATTCAAAATCCCTGATAGATGCATCTATTTTCGTAAGCATAGTCTGCTAGGACATGTGGGAAATCAAGTATCTGGAATTTTCAGTTTTAGTAGTGTAACAGAGATTTTGTATTCTACCAAAATTCTTGAAATAGAGAATTCTTCAAACACAAGCAAGGACTGCACCTGTTAGAAGTCAACAAAGTGAAAAAGGTCTATTACACATGATATAGCCTACCTACTATGTGTTCTTTATTTTATGCATTAATCTGCTGACTATTAAGGTATTATTTTTTGAGGTACACAGACCAATATAAAATACAAAATAGCCATGTTTCTAGATACTGAACATATTCTGACTTTTTGTGATGGAAAATAACATATCAATATTTTATGTTAGTGCTGTTCAATAGAAAGATAACGTGGGCCACAAATGCAGTCAATCCACAGGTGTAATTTTCAATTGCATTTAAAAAGTTAAAAAAGATTTGTACATTGGTGTAGGCCTATAATTCCAGCAACCCAGGAGAATGGAGCAAGAAGATTGTAAGTTCAAGGCCAGCCTTGGCAAATTAGCAAGACCTGATCTCCAAATAAAAAGGGCTGAGGATGTAGCTCAGTGATAAAAGAGGGTTTACTATACAGGAAATAAAGATCAAAACCTCAGACATTTAATTTTAATAATTTATTTGTTTCAACCCAGTGTATACAAAATATTATTTCTAATGTAATCAATTTACTTAGAGAATACTTTACATTTTTGGATACTAAACCTTCAAAATCTAGTGTGTATTTTACATATAGAACACAACTCAATTTAAACTGGTCACATATCAAGTGTGACATGTAGTCAGTGGCTCACATATTAGTGCAGTTCTTGTGATGTTCTATAAAATGCTATATGAATTGCAGTTACTGCCAGCTAAGCATTTGGGATGAAATATTTTATACACATTATGAAAATAGGAATGAATATTTAAAAACTATAACTAAAGAGTAATAAGTGCTTGGTTGTTTATACTCAAAAAAGAAAACTGTCTCCTCAAATACAAAACAGTAATTTCACGTGCAGCATTTTATAATTTATTTGTGGTAGAGAAAGGGGAGTGTGAGATGGGGAGGAGAAATTCAAATTTTTTTCATTAGGTTTTTAAATTATTTTTATTTTCCAAACATTTAAGCTTGTGAAGTGTTGAGATATTTCAGATATTCCTTAAGGCAGAGGAAAGCAACATACAGTTTGTATATGAATAATCAAATTAATCATATTTTATTATATCTATGTGTATGTCACTACTAGGCTTAGTATCTGATGCTTTGAAAAAATAAGATGATAGCAACTGACTATACTTGTAATTTTAACTATTGTATATGACTTATTTAATGCCTAGATAATTAATATTGATAATAAGTTTTATTTTCTAATTGTTTTTATTTTTGTAGGCTGCTGAATCAGGAATAATAAAAGTTAAAACAATAGCCGCAAGAAACACGGAAATTTTGACAGGTAATTTTTTCCATTAAAAATTCAACAATTATGAAAATTGACTAATACTAAAAGTAGAATCTTGAAAGAAAGCCATAAGTTTTCTATAGCATGTCTTTCTCATGCCCTAACATATTATATATGATACAGACTACAGGAATGTCCCAAACTGATTATATTTCCCAGAAATTAATACTATAAAATTCTCTGATATCAGAAAGATTAAAAGTTCTAATTCCTTAAAAGCAAGAATTTTTTTCTTACTGTTCTACCTCTTGCTTCTTAGTCCATCTTTAATATAAACAGTTCATAATGTAGTATTTTATATTTAGTAGTACCATTGAAGTTTTGATTCTTGGAATTAAGTATGGTTGAGAAGAAAAGAATGAGAGTTTCTTTTTATGTCTTTTCTTGATTAAACTTGGTTTTCAAAGAGGAATTTTTAAGAGTTTCTATTTGGTATGCATTTTCTACTCAGTCTACTCCTTTTTGTTTTTTTGTGCTTTCTGTTCTTACCTCAGTAAGGAACATGGACTGGCTTTTTTTTTTTTTTTTAAGAATCTAATATATGTGAGTACTTGTGCCACTCTATCTTACATAAGACTGTCTTGTGGGGAGATATTGTCTTATTTTATAGTAGAGCAACTTCACATGCAAATAAATTACTTGCTTGCTTAAGGTGACATGATAAGTAATGGAACCAGATTCAAATTCAGAAGTGTTCAGAGCCCAGCTTCTTCTTTCAGATGCCATTGTATTTCAAGCTTTTCACCCCAGCTACTTTCTCCCAGTGCTTCATATTTAATCATTGCTTGCTCCATTGATCCTTCAGCCTGTATTTCCTGTTCCAACAGTGCCTTTCCTCTCATCCAATGTAGGAGAAAAATAGTCTTATTAAGTTAGTTAACACAAAGAATCTCTTGAATTTTCATAAACTTTACATTTAAAACAAAGGATGTTGTGAGATTTCAGAGTATTACAAAATGAGATAAAGATTTTAGGGGGTGGTTTAAGAGTTGGGGGGCAAGCGTGGATTTTACTTAGGTTGCTCAGCTTTGCTGGAAATTGGTCCTTAGTGTTAGTTTTCTTGAGTTGCATCTGTTTCTTTCAGATTCTTCCCTGATTTTCATCAGTCTATTGGAAACATTATATATTTTTATAACATATTCACAAGAGTGAATAGTGTTCTGTGTGCATATTGAGGAGTGTGGTGAATGCAGTAGGAAAAGGCAAAGGTGTTTATGGTTGGGTTGGGAGGGACAGCAAGTAGATTTTGGGAGATGCATGTTGTTAGATTAGCTACTGTAGGGGAAATAGTGTTTAAAGATAAATTATGACCTAAGATATTTTTAAGATAGACCAATCATATTAGAATATCATTGTGAATATTTATCTTTGGTATTATTATTGTTGATACTATGGTAAGTCTTTAATTATTCTCCAATAATAGAATTTTTTGTTAGTTTGTAGTTGATGGAAGATAAAAGCCTGATTTCTTCAGAGAACCACTATTTCAGTGTTTTATGCTAAGTAAAATGTCCAATTATAAGAAAGAATAAGAAATTGTTAGTGCACATGAATTTAATATACAGGTAGACTGTTAATTTCATTTTAATTGTATTAGCTTTATTCAAATCATGTTAGAACAGATCTTTGTGCTCATACAGTGTGCTTTAATCTCCATAGTTTTCCAGAGTCATTTACTCAAGGTAGATTAGCATTTAACTTGATCCTGTTATTTTTTTTTTTTATGAAGTATTGATAACAGTTGATGCCTAAAGAATATAGATTCCATAGATCACTGTCATCTTGAAAAATCAAAGACTCTCAAAAACAAAGATTTTATATTGGTCAATATAAAGTTCCTAAATTCAGAGAACAGTTAATACTGAAAACATTTTTATTAATTTAAAAAATTTCCTGAGAAGTATATATATATTTTTTAATACTTGAAACCAAAGGATACTGCTTTTGTGTTGTAATGGTTGTAAAGATCCCACATAATTGAGGAGTCTCAGATGAGACAGAATATTGAATTCTCATATGTTTCTGTATATTCAGAATATATAAAGTTGCTGTAAAAATCAGAGCCCTTAATTAGGCTTAACTAATCTAATTAATGATATTCAGCATAGATTTCTAGTCAGCTTTAGTTTCTTAGATTTATTTTCCAAGGGAACATCATTTATATTGCAACATAAATCTTTGCTTTACATCTCCCCTTTTAAGCATCCTCCTTTAATGTTTATTTTTCTTTGTTTTCACTGCTGTCATGAATGCTGACATAAGTGGAAATGCTATGCCAGGTAATGTCAGCATCAATTCAGATGTACAGATTATCTCAGAATTTTTTTTTCTTTAAAAATGAAACTCTGAAAATGAGAAATAACAAAGTTTTTCATAAGGCCAAATGCCTTAATTCCACCTTTGCTATATATTACAAATTATTATTCTAGCTGGCACTGTACTAGAAATTGAAAAGGCATGTGTTAAACAGAAATCACATAATTCTGCTTTTTAAATGTATGTTTGAACAAGGAAATCAATCAAGTGTAATGTCTATTAAAATTGTATATTTAAACCCTACCCTAAAACGTAATAGTTAAGTCTACCCATGGCTGCTTTTAGCTATTGTCAGTACACATACAGAATTTTTACATGAATAATCATTACGTATGTTTTGTGTTCTTTTCTCACATGGTTTTCCATCATCTTTTCCATGTCTGCTTAGTCTTATAACTACGAGGTCTTTTAAGTAGCAATGAGTAAATATACTTCGGATATTTTTTCTGACATAAAAGGTAATTTACCTGCTTATTTTAATATGTTCTATCTTTTCAATACATTTGCTTGTGATATTTTACAAACAAATATGGAATATATTGTGTAATATATTTTTAATAAGTATTTATGTAAAAATTAGTAGGGGAGATAGAAAGTTGGGTGATGAAATTCACATATAATCTATATGGAAATACAAGAAATATATTTGAAAAGTGTGTTTGTGCCATTTATTTTGTTTGGCTTACCTGCTCCTTCATTTGGAGTACTTTGCCAGAAACTTAACTTTCCAGATGACTTTCTTCCTGAAATTAGTATCAACATCTTATTCTTTCTTATGTTGCTGGTATTTATCATATTACAAGGGAAATAATAAATCTCTTATTAAATGTAGGTTAATAAATGAATGACATTGTATAGAAAGAAATAGGTCTCTTAATATTGTCTTTACTATTTTTTTCTACCTCTCTTTAATTTTTACATGTTATAATTATTTGAATACATGTATTGTCATCCTTAGTTTATGACAACTAGATAACAGCACTCTGAAGAAGACAGACCCTAATTATAGAATTCTAATACTGAGTAGTAAAGGCCAATATGGAAATATATAGATAGGATTGTTATTGGAAGATTGTTTGGAAATGCACCTACTCCAGCTTGGGAATCTGAAGCTGAGCAAGCCTAAAAGCTCAAAGGAGAGTTAGCCAGGCAAATAAAGTGTAGAAGTGGACTGCTTTAATAAACATATGAGATATATAGCAGCTTGGTGTTATGTGGATCCACTAAAAGTAAATTATTGCTATAACAGTATGGAAGATATGGTTGAGTATACCATCACTGAGGCAGAGGTAACTGTTAGGTAATTTAGGCTAGAAAATACAGGGCATGTATCATGTTCACATGTTGACCTGTTGGGCCAGAGATTACATAGTGTGTCTACATTATAATGTGCTTTTGTTTATTTTTTCCTTGGATTTAAAAAATAATAATTTTTATCCCATATTTTCTTATATAATAAGTTTTTTGGGTGGTGGGGGTGGGGGTTGTGTCTGGGGATCAAACCTAGGACCTCACACATGCTCTGCCACTGAGTCATACCCCCAGCCCTATCACAAGTATTTGATTTCATCTTTTTAAATGTTTTTTAATTGCCATACAGTGTTTCATCAAGTGGATTGTACTTCCTTTATGTTAGGTGTATTCAATGTTTAGAATTACTTTATGATAAATTTCTAGAAATTTATAAAGTTGTAATGTTAAAGGGTATGAATATGTTTGAAGTGCTTGGAATGTATCACCACACTTTTTTTTTCCTTTCTGGAAGGTAAACTTTTATGCCTTTACCAACAATATGAAAGTGTATTCTTATAACATCCTTGTCAGGATTATTGTTTTTTAGAAAAAAAAAATGGTACTAAAATAAGGAAATGACTGTTCATTTTACCTGAAATTTTTTAAATTTTATTTTTTAGTTGCAGATGGACACAATTCCTTTATTTTGTTTATTTTGTTTTTTTATATGGTGCTGAGTATCGAACCCAGCGCCTCACACATGCTAGGCAAGTGCTGTGTTGCTGAGTTACAACCCCAGCTCCTGACATTTATTTTTGACATTGAACATATATTTCTCTGTATGCATTAAATTATTTTCTTTTTCATTTTACATTCACTTCTTCTGAGATTTTGTGTTTGCGTTATTAAGTTATTTGAGCTATTTGTATAGCAAAATATTAACTGTCAATTATGTTTTAATCATATTTTTGCCAGATCATGGACCTTTAAATTTTTTTAAACTCTAGATGCTTTTTGTTTTTACCTTAAATAATTTTTCTGAATTCTTTTGTTGCTTTACATTTATGATGCCCTTCTCCTTCAGCATAGTTTATAGTCATTTTAATTTTCTTCTAGTTTTTCTGTGTCTTGATTTTTTTCCTTATTTTTTAATATATGGAATGACATAAAGATTTAGATTTTTTTTGCAAAATTGCTAATTATTCTAACATTGTTTGTTGAATAATTTTCCCTTTAGCTTGTAATGTGCTTCTAAAGTGAAACTACTATACTTTATTTGTCCTATTATTCTTGAATCATTTAAATATATTTTCAGACCTCTGAATCCACTAAAAAATGTTTAGTGGTGTTAGAAACATCAAGTCTTCCCCAGAACCAGATTTTAAGCTTTTTGAAAATAGAAATAATGTCTAAGTCACATTTTATTTCTTTCATAAGCATTACAATTTGTTATTTAAAGGCTGTTAAAATTTATCACAATAAAACTTTTATTAACCCCTGTTTATGTGATTTATAGTGGGGTATCCTAGTTTAATTCTTTTTTTCCAGGATAAAAACTGCAATTATGCAGTGAAACTGCTCAGAGCAAGGAAACCCCTAGGATATGGGGACCTGCTGGACCTCTTTCAGGTGTGTGAAAGTGCATCATTTGATCTCACAGTTATATAATTTGGAAATAACAGCATCTATCAAACACACAGTTGCTCTGTTAAAGTTGCTTATTAAAGGACTTAGGTGGAAAATAAACTTTTTTCTTCTTCCCACAAAACCTCTTTTTTATATCTTAATGGAAGCTGAAATTGTTTTAAAGGATCAATCGATCCTTCTTTTTTGCTCTTTGAATGATATATAAAATAGTTAGAACAAGATGTCTTTATATTGTTCTACAATTTTTTTTCTTCATTGTGATTTCTAAAATCTCTACTCCTAGGAAGGTATTCACATAAAGCTATCCTTAAATAGTATATCATTATAACCATTGTACGTAAAGAGGGGCATTCTCTCAGTTAAAAAGAATCAGGTTAATTTCAACTTCTGCATTACTGTCACATTTGAAGGAAGAAAAATAAACCAGTAACTTAAAAAAAAAAAGATTTTTCTGTTACTGAATTGTGATCTAGATATGGTAGATGTGTTTTGGTTAAATAGATAAATCAATTTTATTATTTAGTTGATTATCTATTCTGGATAACTTAGAAACTGCCATTTTTATATAAATCGGGAGCGGAAAAGTAGGAAAAGATGAGAGATAGGTACTTAATTCCTTTGAATAACATTAAAATAAAGTTTAAAAAATTTATTTTTATTACTACCTTAAGTTTATTTCACCTTGGTAGACCTGAGTGTAATGGATATGTATGCACACTTCACTATGATTCATCTTATTTTATTGATTCTAGGGTACATAGTTTTTTCACTTTTTAACATCACTTAAATTGGTATTCGTCTTACAAATGATAGTATCTTTTAGAATCACTGTGGGTCAGGTGTGGTATAGTTTCCTTTGTAGGTATATGTGTTAATTTGTTCATATTATTATCCCATCAATTGAGTTGCATGCATTGTTGATATCATATATGTTGAGTGTTAATTGCTATTTGAAATGTTCCCCTAATTGTTGTCAAAAACTTTTTAACATTTTATGGTAAGATAAAAAAAGATCAGCATCTAAATATTGCAGAATAGTGTCATGAAGAAAGTCACAGAAACAATAGTGAGGTCCTCTTTGAAGAAATGAAGTATTCCCAATATTCTCCGTATTCCAGAGGATGAAGTTGTGCAGAAAACTTTTAAGTGATTAGAAAGCATTTCCATTATTTAATTGGCTTTGATTTTCTTTGTGATGTTATGGGTATGTCTTGAATCATTGGCATCTTAGACTCTTAAGAAAACGCATTGTTTTTTTCTTTTATGACCCTTCCTTTATTTATCGAAGACTTTAGGTAGACAGTTTTAGTTATTTGTTTGTGATTCTGGGTGATCCAATCCAGTGCCTCCTGCATGCTAGACAAATTCTCTACCACTGATCTACACCAGCCCTTAGGAAGACAATTTTAAAGTACAAATGATTAAGTCCTCTTTTAACTTCATTTATCATCAGGATGATAACTTGCTGGGAAGAATAGTGAACCAGGAATTAAAAGACCTATTTAAAATTCTTCTTGTACCATCTACATACTGTGTCACTTAGACTTAATTGTGCCCTATAAACTATAAGGTTATTGTAATGTTCTAATGAAAAACACCGGCTAATGTCAAAAAAATTATGAATGCAACTTGTTTTTACTGAAAACTTTTAATTTTCCTGAACAACATTTAATAATAAAATAAACATTTAATGATAAAGTTTAACATAAATGGGGTAGCTTCAGACTTCAGTATTCTGGCAAGGATTGAATTTGGAAGGATGATTTAATCACTTCATTAAAGCTTTATGATTAGCTTTAAGGTCATATTTTAATCATTTATGTTTTGAAACTTCACTATGGAAAATTTTTGTCTTTAGGTTTGAATGAAAACCTTTGTGCATAAGGAAGCAAGGAAAAAAGGAGAGGAGCCCTTTTGCCAGTCTTATTTGCTGTTTTTTTTAGCTGTGTTAAATTGGTGATTTATACTGATATACTGAGGGACCTTTGTAGAGCGTGCTCTAGGAAATCGTTGTCTTAGTTTCCATAAAGAGAGCTTTTTTAAAAAAGATTTTTTTTTTAGTTTTAGGTGGATACAATATCTTTATTTTTATGTGGTGCTGAGGATCAAACTCAGTGCCTCATGTGTGCTAGGCGAGCGCTCTACCACTTGAGCCACAACCCAAGCCCCCCATAAAGAGAGCTTTGGGAGAAGTAAAGTAGGACTTAAAGAGTAAAATTAATGTTAATATTGGTTTTGTACTTTAATAATGATCTGGATGACTCTCAATTTCTTTTGAAAAACATTCTAAAACTCAGATTTAATTGTGTTTACGATGTCTTTCCTCCAAATTAATTGATGGAATTAGGACCCTTGAAAACAAGTATCAAACTCATAAGTTTAATGTTCTCTTCACATGTTATTTATTCAAATACCTTGAAAGTGATAAACCTGTCTTATTCATCATTTGTAGCCTATCAGTAAATGGTTATTGATTTAATTCCATTTTATAAATTTAAATGTGTAAATCAGTTTGTGCATTTCCTAACCTCCTTCATTTTTGTCACCCCTTTAAATTTCTGAGAAGACTTGGCTTTGTTAGATATAAATTAAGATTTGAAGTTATAGCATATATATCCAATTAACTTACAGTACTGTTTCAGTAATATAGGGAGAAATGCTATTGTTTTTGATGATGTATGTTTATTTCTTGAAAAAGAGATTAGAGCTCTATGAATTTAAAGCATATAATGAAATTCTAAGGAGGTTTTGAATATTCATTAACAAGTGTGGTGGGAATGGTGTGCATACTAACTTCTTACTTATTTTCCCTTCTGAAGGGAAATAGCTTCTGAGGATCCATGTCCTTAAAGAATTTATAGCAGAAGATAGAGAAGAATGAAAGGGCAGAGTGTTGGGAGAAAGGCATAGGAAAGCTGTAGTGATACAAAGTCTGTACTATGCATCCGAAGTATATTAACTCTTATTACATGATTTTTATTTTGGTGTTTATATTATACAGTATGGTTCTTATTAAAAGATTGACATTCGTTGTAATTATATAAAAATATATTCCTAATTATGAATTAGATTTAATAATTTTTCCTATGTGTGTTCTAAATAAAGCATTGAAAGAGAACAGCTCAGAGGTTGTACAGCCTTTCCTAATGGGTTGTGGAACCAAGGAACCGAAGATCACTCAGCTATGTTTGGCTGCCATTCAGAGACTCATGTCACATGAAGTTGTGTCTGAGGTAATACAGAAATTTTATTTGAACTGCACATAGAGTCAGATCTGTATATTTCGTATGAAAGAATGAAACTTACCTTTTATTTAATGTAAAAGTTTTGTGAATAGCAATGTACTTGAAGAAAATGGCTTAATTTTAAAATATTGTCAAATTGTCTCCTTAAATACTAAAAAGTTACAAATAAGGATGAAATACATTTTGTCAAGTCATTTGTAATCTAAGTCACAATTCAGTAGTATAGATGGTAATGTTAGAATCAAGTAAGTTTTCAATATCATTGAAAATTTATTTAATAAAATTCTTGTGTTTTTTAAAAGGTAGGAGAGAAAATGATGACTATTTTCTAGATTATCTGAAGTTCTAATATGTTGTTCATTAACTTAAATATATTGTTAGTATCTAAACTGATGATGGTAAAACAAAAAATATTTCATTACTATAAACCTCATCTTGCTTTCAAATTTTACCTTAATTTTGTACTCCATAAGTACTACAATAAAAGTGGTAATTCTTTTGGTCTTGGTATGGTTTCCTAAACAATGTCACATTTAATTGAGTATACAATGTATTGTCAATTTGCATTGTATTTTATTTTTATAATATATTATAAATGAAGTAATATATAAGAAAAGCAGACTCATAGTTTGTATATGACCATAACTGGATGAAAAATGCCTGTATTATTGTAGAAATTAGTTTTGATTTTGACTAGGTATTTCAGAACTGCATGCTGTTTGTTGCTATGTTACATTTTTAGGAAATTTACCTTTTTTAAGAATATTATTAATTGGTTATAAGTATCAAACTTGTTAAGAGATGTGTTTGGATCTATAGGTCTAAAAGTATGATTTTTTTGTTACTTTGATAAAGAATATTCTCAAATGAGGTAATATTTGACCCCTTTTTTTCCTTTGGCACCTAAACACCTAAATTACCTGTCGACAATTCTTAAAATAATGTTTTACAGACTGCTGCTGGGAATATAATTAACATGCTTTGGCAGCTAATGGAAAATAGTCTTGAAGAACTTAAGCTACTTCAAACAGTTCTTGTTCTCTTAACAACCAATACAGTAGTCCATGATGAGGCACTTTCTAAGGTAGGAAACCTATTTGTCAGTTGATAAATGCTTTGAGACAGTTTTTGAATAAGCTGGCTGAAAAGAACAAGTCTGGTGCTTTTGGAATCAAAAGCAACTTTCCTGTAGTTATCATGATGATTAGTATTGTACTTTAATAATCATTGGTGCCTTTGTTTTTCTCCAGATTAGACTTAAAATCATGTCAAGATCCTTAAGCAAAGCTCCTTAGGTATTGCTGATGGGTTTAGTTAAGACAAGAAAAGAGGAAGAGAGAAGTAAGAGGGAAAAATGTGTCATATGGTATTGCCTTGGCTATTTTAGATCCCTATGATAGCTCTCCCTTTTCTCCTTTTAAAAATAATTTCACATGTATATGTTATATAAACCAAACAGTTCAAATCTAGTCTCCTTTCAGCATTATACTGGGTAAACCTGCATATGTAATGGTATTTCTCACTTTACCTCTCCCACCCTTGGAACATGTAACAGTTGTTTTATTCTTTATCTAACTCTTTATTTAATTTTTTTATAAGGAAATAAACAGAGGGGAGACTAGTAGAGGAAGAGTAATAGGGGGAGGGAGGAAGGGAGGGAAAGAGGAGGCACTGGGGACTGAAATGGAGCAAATTAAATTCCATGCATGTATGATTATGCCATAATGAACCCAACTATTATGTAAAACTATAATGCACCAATAAAAGCATTTTAGTTAAAAATTTTTTTAATTATGAAATATCTCTAAAGAATAAAAAGTACGGAGTAATATGAAGAAAGTCTTCAATTAATGATTTATTGTCTAAGGATTGTTTTGGATTTTCAATAATAGTTTTATTATAATTTGCATGCTTTTAAGGATAGACAGCCTATAAAGAAGCATACCATTTTTTTTGGTGGTGGGGTACCAGGGATTGAACATGGTGGCCCTTAACCACTCACTTGAGCCACATCCTCAGCCCTTTTTAATTTTTTTATTTTGAGACAGGGTCTCACTAAGTTGCTGAGGCTGGCTGCCCTTGAACTTGTGATCCTCCTGCTTTCGTCTCCTGAGCCACAAGGCTCACAGGCATGCCTGACCATGTCCGCCTACTGTCATATTAAACTATGTTTATTATTTCAAGTGGTTACATCTCCCTCTTTTCAGTTGTTAATTTGATGTTATTAGGTCATTGTGAGATTTTATTTAATAGCAAATAGTTTATTCTTTTAACTTCACATCTGCTACAGAAAATGTTTTATGTATTTTTGCATGCTCTTTTAATCACTGTTCCTCTTAGTTTCTTGCTATCAAATTATTGTTCTTTTATATGTCAGTTGTCCTACTAAAGAAATAAGAACTGATTACAGGGTTTATTTTAGTGTGCTAGCAAATTGGAAATAAAATATTTGGGGATCAAAAATCAAGAATAAAGAAATAAGACAAAATTGAGAAATTTGAAAGCTTCCATGTATCTATAAAATATGCTTTCCTTTATACTGAAATATAAAAAATAATAGTGATATCAATGACTTATTTCTTTAAAAAATTTTAACAATAATTAAAGTAATAAGGTATAGAATCTGACTTACCATTATATTTTTTTCACAAACAACCTCTTTTTAAACTATGAGACTCTCAGAAGAACATATAGGGCAAAATTATTGTGATATTGGGGTAGGCAAAAATGTTTTAGAGTACAAAATCCATGAACTATTAAAGGAGCCATAAAATGGAGGAAAATATTAGCAAATATCTGACAATAGACATATCTAGACAATATAAAGAACTCTTATAAAGATTAACAACTGAGTAAAAATGGATGAATGATTTTGACACTTGACAAAATAGGATATTCAAATGGCAAGCAAACATATGAAAAGAGAATCACCATTATAATTTATCAATGAAATGTAAATTGTAACCCCAAGGAGTCATCATTATATATCCATTAGGATACAGTTTAAAAAGACTTACCATTTCAAGTCCTCTTGAAGATATTGAATAGTTCTGAACTCATACATACTACTGGTAGGAATGTAAAATTGTAAATCTATTTTGGGAAACTGTCAGTTTCTTAAAAAGTTAAACTTCATTATCAGATGACCCAGCCAGTTCACTCCTACATGTTTTCCCAAGGTGAATGAAAATGAACTCACAGAGACTTGTATGTGAGTTTTTAAAGCAGTTTTATATAAAGTAGCCCCAAATTGAAAACTACCTAAATGTCCTAAATGTCCATCAACATTTTATACTGTATCGTGGAATCTATTTAACTACTCATATACAGAACAGCATAGATGAATAACACAATTATTAATTAAGTGAAAGAAGCCAGACACAATACATAGTGAATGAATCTGTTTATAAAGTTGTACAAAATGCTGGCTAATCTCTAAAAAAAAAGCAGATGGGTGGTTAACTGTGGCCAATGGTAGAGGAAGAGAAGGACTGCAGAGGTGCCCAAAGAAACTTCTGAGATTATGCAAATGCTCTGTAATCTGATTATGGCTCTATTTCTGAGGACCTGCGTGTCAAACATAACTCATTAAACTATATACTCTGAAGGGATGCAGTTTATTGTTGGAAATTACACCTTAATAATGTTGATTTTAAAGAGAAAGGAAGAATGACTCTGTAAAAACATACTATATGTGTATTTATTTATATACCTAGCACTTTGTATAATTTTTCTCCAAATGATTTAATGACGTATCAAGTGTTTAATTCTAACTATTTGCAGAGCAAGTCATTCTGGGGAAATAAAAGCATGATGCATTATTACACACATGTTAAAAGAATCAAATTTTGCTGGGCGTGGTGGTACATGCCTGTAATCCCAAGGACTCAGGAGGCTGAGAAAGGAGGATTGGGATTCAGAGCCAGCCTCAGCAAAGTGTTAAGAAACTCAATGAGACCCTGTCTCTAAATTAAACAAATAAATAAATAAAATTATAAATACATAAAATTGTTTGTTTATTTATTATTTTATTTAGAGACCCCTGTCTCTAAAATATTGCATACAACATTTGTCTCTTAAAATTATGCATATAACATTTGTTGTATCATCAAATCATTTGGGAAACAAGAGAGACCGTATCTCCAAATAAAATAGGGCCGGGGCTTTGGCTTAGTGGTTGAGTGTCCCTGAGTTCAATTCGTGGTACCAAAAACAAAAACAAAAAAATCAAATTTTTTAAAAAAGTGTATTTCATATTACATTAGCCAATCTTACATGGCTATATTGGTTACCAAGAGTTTGAATTATTTTAAAATCTGAGAGTTTTTTTAGTTTTATTGTATAAAAAGGTGAGACACTAATCTCTGAGAAAGAGTTATACATAAATTATTTAATTTGAGGTTACATCTGATAAAGCTAATGGCCAAGCCTTCAATCTTATTTCACACTAAATGAAAATTGTGTTTGTAGGCAATTGTTCTTTGTTTTCGACTACACTTCACAAAAGATAATATTACAAATAATACAGCTGCTGCTACCGTGCGACAAGTTGTTACTGTGGTTTTTGAGAGAATGGTTGCTGAAGATGAACGATACAGAGGTAAAGTGATAAAAGTTGTTTCCTTTTGATTTGGAAATGTTCTTACATGCATGATTCGTTTTCATTAATTTTTAGCATTTTCCCTGTGAGCACAGAATATCTAAAAACTAGAAAACTTTAAAAATATTTATTTTAAGATATTTATTTTAAAATATTATTGTCAATAACAGAAGTTTTGAAAATAAATGCCTCACAATTTAGGAGGCTTTTGCTTTTCCATTTTTATTTATAATGCATGCATAATTTTGTATTGAAGATAATAGTTTCACATTTTCTGCAGTTTGTATTTTTTCATATACTACATTTTTTGTATTTTTACCCAAACATTATATCCTATAGATTTTTCATGTTATTCTTTTATCTACATAATTTAAAATTTGATAGCTACATTGTATTTTTTGTCTATTCTGTAATTTAGTGAACTAGTCTTCTATTGGATATTTGCATGGTATTTGATTTAGAGCTGTTTTAAGTGCTAAGTTGGGAAACACCATTCTAGTTGACTCTTAGCCAATGAATATTTATAGCTGACAGATTAATAATGGCAGATCAGGCAGTTAATTCTTTTGAAGATGGTGAGATAATAGGAGAACTCACCATAAGGTAAACTTTTTACATTTATTTGATACTTAAAGGTACATTGAAAGATCATGTGAATTTTATATCTGTGAGACAAAGAGGCCAAAATGGGATTTTAGGAAAATCAAATGCATGGACAAAGATATGAGGCTTATTAAAGTGATTATAAGATAATGAAGAGTGATTTTTAATGGCATTTTATATAAAAATAGATCCTCAATTATGTTTTCATTCTGGGGACATAGTTCTGAAGTTATAATTAAAGTTTATAATTATATAATTAAATAGCTTATTTAAAATATATCCTTTAAACAGAATATAAGATTTATTAAAGGCCACTATGAACTCCTAAAACCTATCCTATTTTGATTGCAGATATTATAGAACAGCCAGTACTGGTGCAAGGAAATAGTAACAGAAGATCTGTCAGTACTCTCAAACCTTGTGCTAAAGATGCATATATGCTTTTCCAGGTATTTCAGTTGATAGATAATTTTTATTATACAGTTTTTTATGACTTTCATTTTAGAACTTTTATATCTAATTTAGTTTTTAGTATGAAAATGTAAAAAACTATTTCAAAGTAGGTATTAAAATAGTTCTAAAAGATTAAAAACAACTTTTACATTTACAGTATAGCTAATTAACATAATAAAATATTGCAATTCACTTTAAGGAAATAAAAATGTATTGCCAGAACTAGAGATTAAATATATTAGAGATGACTAGTTATACAAAAAAATATTTTTTTCAACAAAGAAAATTTAAGAATAAACCTATGATCTATATTATATAATTTGATAGAAGCCTACTTTTTACATCATTTCTCATGAATGAATTGTTTTAAATAAAATAAAATTCATCTGTACTGAAAATTTTAATTTTCATTTAAAATGTTAGATCAATTATTTGTCTATCTACTCCATATGCTATTTATATGTCAATAGTTATATGATTCTATACATATTTACATATACAATTTAAATTAGCTATTGCTTAGTTTCTAAAGAAGGAAGGTTTAATTCTCTTTCTTTTTTTTTTAATTTCATAAACTGAGTTTTTAGAAAGCACATTTCCTCCTAACACATGAAATTGTTTGATTAATTTTTCCAGGATCTTTGTCAATTGGTTAATGCTGATGCCCCTTACTGGCTAGTAGGCATGACAGAAATGACTCGGACATTTGGCCTTGAATTGCTTGAGTCAGTCCTCAATGATTTTCCACAAGTCTTTTTACAGGTAAGCCATTAATAGTATTTTTTAAAAAAATAAATCTTTAATTTTTTTCACAGATATTTTTCAAAGAAAACATATTTTTTATATGTTAATAAATGCAAAGATTTAAAAGCCCCAGAGTTTAGACATATAATAATTTAGTATTAGCTTTTTTTTTTTTAATACTGGGGATTGAATTCAGGGGCTCTCTACCACTGAGCTATATCCCCAGTCCTTTTTTTTTTTTTTTTTTTTTTTGAGACAGCGTTTTTAAGTTGCTGAGGATCTTGCTAAATTGCTGAGGCTGGCCTTGAACTTGCATTTTTTAACCACAATCTAGCTCCCTCTCTTACTGTGCTGTTTCCCTAAGTAATGTATTTTGTCCATTGTTTTTATCTACAAAATGTGTGAATCAAGTGTAAATAGTGTAAGGTCTTTTTGGGCTTGAGAATTTGAGCTAAAATTACTTTTATGTGGTTCATAATTTTTGGTATACATTAAGCAACTATTAACTGCTTTTGGTGATAATGAATTGTATTTACTGATGATTCCTTTCCTCATGGTACAGTAGGAAAAGCAGTAGATATAACTTGTCCAATAGTTTTGTGTAAAATGGTTGTTATTGTCATAATAATTACTATTGTTTGACTGTCATCTAAATGCTATGTGCCAGATTCTTTACACATCATATTTTCTTTAATTTTCCCAGATGCCTTAAAAGTACTAGTTATTCCTATTGTCCCCATGAGGAAACTGTAACTTGCAGAAAGTTAAATACTTTGTCCAAGATTTCATCGTTTGTAAGTGATAGAATTGGGAATTGAACTCATGTCAACCAAATTCCAAATTAGCTTTTCTTCTTTTCCTTTCTTCTTTATTTACATCCTATATCTCAGTCATTATCTTCAAAATATATTCGGGGCCCAATTAATTCTAAACCATTTCTACCACAATAATCATTGTCAAATCCATTCTCACCTAAATTAGTGTGTTAGTTTCCTAACTGATCTCCTATGGTGTACACTTGTCCTACGTGTGTGTGTGTGTGTGTGTGTGTGTGTGTGTGTGTGTTGGTAGTGCTGGTAGATTGAACCCAGGATCTTGTATGTGTATGTAACACTATATTCAAATGGGTTTTTCAAAGAAGTCATATCTTTTTAGTCTCTCTCTCTCTTTTTTTTTGTCCTGGTGATTGAACCCAGGGGTGCTTAACCACTGAGCCATGTTCCCCAGCCATTTTTTATATTTTATTTAGAGACAGGGTCTTGCTGAGTTGCTAAGTGCCTTGCTAATCTGCTGAGGCTGGCTTTGAACTAGCGATCCTCCTGCCTCAGCTTCTGGAGTTGCTGGTGCCGCAACCCGGCTGGGCACAGAAGCACGAACTGCCGCAACCGGCTGGGCACAAAAACACAAGCCGCTCAAGCGGGAAACAAAGCTTTATTTAAAAAAGCCGCCAGCGTCCCGTGTGCCCTGTTAGCAAGCCGGTCGACCCACGTGTGTCACCGGAACTGGGCGCCCGGACCTCCCCCGGAAGTTCCCTCCTACTATCCTTCCCCAACCAATGGGAACTCTCCCATTACATGAGTAACATGAGTAACATGAGTTCCGTAACAGGCCAAGGTGAACAGCAGGAGTCCAATTTCCATATGAAATGTAAAGCTTAACATAATCATATCATCTCAATGGCTAGCTGGCAGTCACCTAAACCAAAAGTGCCATGTATCATAATACTTTTGCTGTGGCTCCTAGCAGCTGGGATTACAGACATGCACCACCGCACTCAGCCTTTACAGTCCTTTTTAAAAATATGTCAGTTAATGTCTTCTTTACCCAGAATAAAAGATGAAGCCCTGTTTTGATATGTGGAACTTGCCATAATTTAGTCTTCAATTTCTTTGGTCTTTTATCTCATTTCATTTCTTGCTTTGGCCTCATCCTTTAGCCATACTTCAACCAAGCACACTCTTGCCTCAAGGCCTTTGTTATTTACTGTTTTCTGGATCTGGAATGCTTTTCTTCCATGTGGTTTACTCTTATTTCTTTGAGGTTTTTGCTCAATGGTCTACTTAACAGGCATTTCTTCCCTAACCACTTTGTGTAAAATGGCACACTTTTTAATGTCAGCACACTTATTTTTCCAATCCTTCTTTGTTTTTGATAGTATTTATTATCTCCTGATATATAATAAAATATTCAGATTTATTATACCCATGAAATTTCTATGTTATTCTTCCTACTGTAATACAGAGAGATAAAATAATTCTTCTATGAAAGATCTTAGAATTTAGTCCTGAAAAAATTTTTCAGAGACAGATATTAGTTTTCTTTTACTCATCATTGACACATATATTCAAAATTTACCAGTCATTCACAGTGTATTGGTCTGTGTTCCATGCCAAGAATATGACAGGTAAAATCCTTGCCCGTATGACCCATTCACGGCTAATGAGGAGAAAGGTATTAACTTAATGATAACACATGATGACTGCTCTTCAGGAAAAACAATTAAAAAAATACTATGCAAATGAATAACTTGGATACCAAACTTGGTAGACTAGTGGAGATGAATAGAAGAGATGATGCTTAAGCTTGTACTTGAAGGATGAAGTAAGTTAGATTTAGGCAAAATGGAAAAAGAATACTTCATGCAGAGTGTATTTCAAGAGCAGTTACATTAGGATAGGAGCTGTTTTCCTTTCTAAAAAATAAGCTCTAGGATAGGGGCATTGAAAATTGTACTTAATTCTGTATCCCTTTCTCTAGCACAGTGCCTGGCAAGTAATTGCTGAATCAATAAGTGAAGTAGTTTAGTAGGTGATGAAAAATGCAGTCTTAGAGATGACTTCTATCTTTTTGGCCCAAGCAGTTAATGATTTGCTAAGATGAAGTACTCGGTGGACAGAACTTTTATTATAAGAAAGATATTATTTAGTTTCATACATATTCATTTGGAGTATCTATGAGACATGCAAAATGTTATTTGGACTTACATGCATCTTGAAGTTTGGGGCTAAGACTTATATTCCTTTTCCATAAGATTAAAAAGATTAGTTTGGATGATTTTTATGATTCTTTCTTTGTTTATAATAGCTTCAATGAAATTTTATGTGATTAAAACACCAAAATAAAATATACTTGAAGTTAATCATTAAGTGCAGATCGTGCCTAGTTTGTCACTAAAATGAGACTACTCTTAAGTAACACAGAGAATGAGAATCAAGGGAGGTTTTCTGTATAATATATGATGACTACAAATAAAATTTAAGAATTCTTTAAAAAATTCTCCATCTTATAAAATTGTGCTAGGTTGTCATTGCATATTTCACCAGCTTGTGTTCTGTTCAAGTAATCCAACTAGCACAAAACCAAGTTATTTATTAAATTTTCTCTATATGAATGGGATTATTCTTTGCAAAATATAATCAGTGAATTTTATAACTTATTCTACTTTATTAATCAGGTTTTCACTCCTCAGTTGTCTATTCAACACTGTTTGCTTATATTTGTAAAATCTGTTTTCTTTTATTCTTTGTTTTTAATCACCAATATCCAACTTAAAGTTTCTAGTAATGAGCACCAATTCCTCAACTCTAAAATCATTCATGTTTCTTTTTAATGATTATTGAAGAAACTCTTGAAATATTAATATTTTGTTCTAAGACCTCTTAACAGCAATGTGAGTTTCAAATTTGTGTGCAAATTGTAAAATAATAAAATATATACTTACAATTAAACTAAATTATTTATACTGATTTTTATTTGCTAGCAAGACTACATTAGAGCTATTGAGTACGAACTAATTTCATTCTTTTTTCTTCTTTGCAAATAGCACCAGGAATTTAGTTTCCTCCTCAAAGAAAGAGTGTGTCCTCTTGTGATAAAGCTCTTTTCTCCAAATATAAAGTTCAGACAAGGTTCAAGTACTTCATCTTCCCCAGCACCTGTTGAAAAACCATATTTTCCTATCTGTATGCGATTGCTGAGAGTGGTTTCTGTCCTGATTAAGCAGTTTTATAGTCTTTTGGTAAGTGCTATTTTCCATACATATTTGTATATATTCATATACAGTGCTTTTTAAAGAAAGTGGTCTATTTATGGTGTTAGTTTTTTTTTTCAATTCAGTTCTATAGAATTGTTTTTGATTACATACAAGTGTTCTCTCAGGTACTCTAAAATTTCATTCTGTCCTTTTTTTGAATCTTATTTGCATTTGTATAGTATTTATAATGTATGTCAAGGAGAGTAATAACCTATTATCTCAAAGCAGCATAGGATTTATATTTTAAGAATTCAGCTTTTTATGCAACTCATAATAGCCACGTTATGGAGCCAGCCTAAAAGCTTATTCACAGATGAATGTATAAAGAAAATGTGGTATATATACACAATGGAGTATTACTCAGCCATAAAGAAGAATGAAATTATGGCATTTACCACTAAACAATGGAACTGGAGACTACCATGCTAAGTAAAATAAGCCAGAAGCAGAATTCAGTTAAAATGTTTTATCAGATATGCAGAAACTAGCCCAAAATAAGGAAAAAAAGAAAAGGTAGGGAGAATTCTATCAAAAAAGAAGAAAAATCAGTGGAGTTGAAGAAGGGTTAAGAGGGAAGGAGGAAAGATTGGTAAGGAAAGAACAGTGGAATGAATCTTCCCTAACATTCCTATGTGCATACAGTGGTGAATCTTGTTATTATGTGTAACCACAAGGCACTACTTAAACAAACAAACAAACAAAAAAACTGTAATAGCAGAAAGATCAGTAGAGTGGAGGGAAGAGAGTAGGGGGAGGGAAGAGGGGGGAAAGGGGAAATACTTGGGACAGAATTAGAGCAAATTATATTCCATGCTTTTTAATTATGTTAAGTGAATCCTAATGTTATATGTAACTTTAAAGAACTAATAAAATAAAAACAAAAGGAGAAGGACTCAGTAAGATGCGATATCCATGTTCACATTTCTGACTAATTAAAATTATTTTGTTACTATAGTTAGGAATATTTTCAAGTTTCTAAGATAAAAGTTGAAGATTCTGATTTTTCTATTTCTTGCAGTTGTTACAGAAATAATTTCTAAATAATTTGTAACAAAAAGAATTCAACTTTGTAGCTCATATGAATAATAATTAAAATTATAGTATCCAGTATATTCTGCTTTTATTTATACTCTTTCATATGTCTTCACAGATTAAAGCAAATTTATTAAAGATTTGATGGAATCAAGGATAAGAAATATAATATTTTTCTTTACTTCTAATCCACTTTATATCTCTTTTTGCATAACTTTATGATGTGGAATATGTTGTAATATTCTTGATCGTAATGCTATTTCTGTTATGGTTTCCTCCTAAACATTCAAGTGGTATTTGTCAGAAAATGGTTCATTATAAAAAAAAAAAGAAAATGATTCATTATGTTTCTTTTTAGTTTTATTAATTAAATTCAGTATCATAATATTTTCACATTTGTAACTTTTAATGAACAAAAGTAGACAACACAATAATAGTAAGAGACTTTAGTATTACATTTTCTATAGTGTGTAGAACAAATGGACATAAGACCAGTAAGATTTGTAGGGAAACACAGAGGGCCTGATCAACACTGTAAGCCAATTGGACTTAAGAGCATGTGTAGAATACTGAACCCAACATTAGCAGAACACATAATCTTCTCAAGTGCACATGGGACATTCTCCAGTATAGATCACGGTAGACCATATAAGACAAATTTAGGTCTTAACAGATTTAGGAAGATTAAAATCATAGTAAGCATCTTCCTTGACAACCGTGGAATAAAACCAGAAATTGGTAGAAGAAAGAAAATAGGGGCAATTAAACAACACACTCTTAATGGTTTAAAAAATAAATCAGAAGGGAAATAAGAATATATGTTGAAACAAATGAAAATGAAAATATAACTTATGAGTTGCCATAAAAGTACTATCAAGAGAGAACTTTATGGTAAGGAATACCTTCATAAAAAGGAAGAAAAATCTAAAATTTGCAATTTAACTTTACACCTCAAGGGTGTAGAAAAATGAACAATCTAAATGCAAAGTTAGCAAAAGGAACAAAATAATAAAAAATTACAGCATAAATGAAATAGAAAAATAGATACCACTGGGAGTTGGTTTTTGTAAATATCCATAAAATCAGCAAACCCTTAGTTAGACTAAACAGAATGCTTAACTAATTTCAGAAATGAGAGAGGAGAAAGTTGATGCCACGAAAGTATGAAGGATTATAAAGGACAACTATGAATAGCTATACAACAAAAAATTGTATAACCTTGAAGAAATAAATTCCTTGAAACTGACAATCTACCAAGATGGAATCACAAAAAAATTTGAATAGAATCATAACTAGTAAAGAGATTGAATCAATAATCAAACATCTCATAACAAAGAAAAGCCCAGAGCCAAATGGCTTCACAGGTGAACTCAAACACTGAAAGGAGAATTAACACCAGTCTTTCTCAAAAATCTTCCAAAAAATTGAAGAGAAGAAAACACTTCCAAATTCACTGTATGACGCTAATATTACCTTGATTCCAAAGTCAAAAGGTATTACAAGAAACCATAAATCAGTATTCCTGATGAATATTGTGGCAGAAATTCTCAACAAACTATAAGGAAACCAAATTCAGTTGCACATTAAAAGATCATCAAGGGTTGGGGATATAGCTCAATAGAGTGCTTGCCTCGCATGCACAAGGCCCTGGGTTCAGTCCCCAGCAACACACACGCACACACACACACACACACACACACACACACACACACACACGTCATTAAAACCATGACCAAGTGGGATGTATTTCTGGAACACAGGATATTTTAACATAGGGAAAGCAATTCATGTTGTCTACCATGTTGTTTTGTTTGTCATGTAAAAAACAAACACATGATCATCTCAACTGATTTAGGAAAAGCATTTGATAAAATTCATTACCCTTTCATAATACTCAGAAAACTAGGAATTGAAGTAAACTATCTCAATTTAATAAAGACCTTCTATGAAAAATCAGTAACTAATATCACAGTCAAAACTTCAAAGTCTTTCCTGTAAGTAAACAAGGCATGGTTGCCTGTATCTACACTTATATTCAACATAGTACTAGAAGTTCTAGCCAGAGCAATTGGGAAAGAAAAAGAAATGAGTCATCCAGACTTGAAAGGAAGAAGCAAACATATCTGTTTTTAGATGACATGGTCTTATATGTAAGTAGTCCTAAAGAATCTGTACAATGCAACTTATTAGAGCCAATCAACAAATTCAGCATGCAAAAATCAGTTGTATTTCTCAATTCAAGAAAAGAAATTAAGAAAGCATTTCTATTGACCATTGAATTAAAAAAAATACAATATTTAGGTATAAACTTAGCCAAGCTGGCCAAAGACCAGTATACTAAAAGCCAAAAATATTGCTGAAAGAAAGACACAAATGGGAAAACATCCAGCATTCATGATTAGAAGATTTAATTTTGTTAAAATGACCATACTACCCAGAGTGATCTGCAGATTCAGTGCACTCTCTATAAAAATTCCAACAGCATTTTTTACAGAAATAGAAGAATCCATTCTAAAATTTACAGAATCTTGAAGGACCTGACTTGTCAAAATGAATCTTGAGAAAAAAAGAACAGATGTGGAGACCTCACACTTCCTGATCTTAAAGCATATTGCAGAACTAGGGTAATCAAAAGCAGTTGGCTACTGGCACAAAGAAAGACATAAAGACCAGTGGAAGAGAATAGAGAACCCAGAAATAAGCCCTTGTATATATGGCTAAATGATCTTTAATAAGAATGCCAAGATCACTCAATGGGGAAAGGACAGCCTCTTCAACAGTAGAGCTAGAAAAGTTATAATGAGGAAATTGTTAAGGAAGCCAGCACCTACCAGAAGAATGAAGTTGTATCTTTACCTTATATCACAAAAACTCAAAATGGATATACCACCTAAATAGAAGACTTAAAATCATGAAGTTTCTTAAAAATATAAAAATTAAAAAAAAACACCTTGGAGAAAATATTTATAACACTGGATTTAGCAATGATTTCTTGGTACTGACACCAAAAGCAAAAGTGAACAAATGGTATTACATCAAACTTAAAACTCCCCACACCTCAAAAGAAACTCTCAACAATTTGAAAAGGCATTTGTGTGTGTGTGTGTGTGTGTGTGTGTGAGAGTGAGAGAGAGAGAGAGAGAGAGAGAGAGAGAGAGAGAGACTGGAGATTGGTTCCAGGAGCACCCTACCACCAAACTATATCTCCATCCCTTTTTTTGTTTTGTTTTAAATATTTTTGTTGATAGACCTTTATTTTATTTATTTATATGTGGTGCTGAGAATCAAACCCAGTGCCTCACACATGCCAGGCAAGTGCGCAACCGCTAAACCCCAGCCCCAACCTTCCCCATACCTTTTTTATTTTTTATTTTGAGACATAGTCTCACCCAGTTACTGAGGCTGGCCTTGAACTTGCAATTTACCTGCCTCAGATGCTTGAGTCCTGGAGATAAAGACATGTATCACGTAACTAAAAAGTTTTTTCTCAGCAAGAGAAACAATAAGAGAGGTAAACAGGGAGCCTACATCCTGGGAACAAATTTTTACTCCTCACACTTCAGATAGAGCCCTAATATCCAGAATATACAAAGAACTCAAAAAATTAAACAATAAG